TCCATTACTGTTTTGAATACTTACTCAATTAATTTTTATCCCTCTTCGAAAAATTTACTCGATCGTTTTGAATGTATGACCATGTCTGATATGATTTCCAAAAATAGGATAAAGTATAAAGGTTTAAAGGAAAGTGTCAAATGAAGGGGTCAAAGGTTTAAAGTGATTAAAGCAAAGAGAAAAGAAGCCTTCTTATTTAAAAAAAAAAGAGAAAGGCCAAGGTTTAAAGGGAAAAGAGCGGAAATAAAGATAAACAATCACAATCTTAAAAAAAAGTGAAAAGTTTGTTGGGAAAAGAACAGTGTAAAGTAAAAAGAAATTAATGGGAAAAGGATAAGCATTTAAACATTTATCTAAACATTTTGTTTGAGAAAAATTCTGTGTAAAGTAAAAATAAATTAATGGGAAAATGTTTAAAGGAAAGGATAAGCATCTAAACATTTATGTAAACATCCGTGAGGGATGAATAAGCATTCACAGTTATTTAAACATTTAAATGAAGAAGCATTTCAACATTTGCTTAACATTCATGTAAGCTGTCAACAGGAGTCATTTTAAGATTTACAGATTCACTTTTAAGTTGTCTCTTTAGCTTTCAGCAAGGCTAACACTAAAAAAAAAAAATTTTTTTTTTAAAATTTCTATTTAAATTAAAATATCAATTACAGATAAAATTTAAAAGCTATCGAAAAGCAACAAAAGCAACGACTAATTTGTCTTCATGGTTGGTCCTGAAGACTCAAGCAACAAGGGCATTACGCCCGCGGGTACCAAGGTACCACAAAATTCTTCGTCTTCTTCCAGTTTGGAGGAAACGCCAATCAATGTAGTTGACAAGAAACTACTAATAGGTAAATCCAACACAGCTCAGCTGAAGATACAGGACCTGGAACAGGTATTTGGTGAAACAATACGTTTAGAGGAGGGTGTAAACCGCTCTATTCGACTCATGAGTCGCAAGGTAAACCAAAATTCAACAGGGTTAACTAAATTAGCTGAGGAGGTTAATCAAGGGTTTTCCACTTTGGGTGACAAAATTAATAGCTGTGAGCAAAACATTACTGAATTATCTAAAAGAAAGGCTAGGTCTGCCTCCCCAAATAAAATAAGGGTAGGACAACAAACATTAATGCCTCTTATTATTCCAGAACTAAACATTTCGAATCTTAGTGAAAATAATGACAATAATTGGGCTGATGAATCACAGGTGGATGGACAAGTTAGACACCCACCCATGACAACTGATGAAGGATTGCACACGCTCAACATGCTTCACCACGAAGGTATCCCATCGCTTGAGGTATATTCTGATGATAATATTATATCATTTGATAAATGGGGAAAGAAATTTTTAGAAAGAATTAAGGTCTTTGGAGTAAAACTTTCAGAAGAAGAAAAACTTGCTCGACTTTCACTATTTTTGGAAGACACACCCAAAAGAATCTTTGAAGAATTGTCTCCAACTCAAAAATTAACGTGTGAAATGGCACTTCAAAGCATAAGAAAGGAGTTGGACTCTCCTCAACGACGTGCTCTCTCAAGGCAGGCGCTTTTAATGTGCCGCCAACATGAAGGTGAGTCAGTCAAAGATTTCCTATCACGCTTTAGACCTCTGGCAATGGCTACAGCTGCTGATATTTCTGGTCCAAACAAGGAACGGTACTTATGTGAACTTTTATTAGAACGTTTAAGACCTAACATAGCATTTTGTATGAAATTACTCAACTTTTCACAGACAGATAGAGGTTTTGAACAATTATGCTTAGATCTTCGTGAAGTCGAAATCATGCTACCTGGAGGCACTGGATCAATGTTTGACATGCCAAATCAAGAAGTGCATGCAATGCAACAATCAAATTCCTTTAATGTACCAGGGAAGTTCCAATCACTGAATCCGACTAATCCAAATAGACAAAAGCTCGGTCAAAGGTGGGGACAAAGTCAAAATAGAAATGATTTTCAAAATAATCGAAATAATTTTGGAGAATTTAGGCAAAACAACCTTCGACGAGACATGAACTATCGTGACACAAGACAAATGCGAACACCAACTAATGATCGACGATGGAACAACAGACCTATTTGTAATTACTGCTCGAAAGTTGGTCACTTTGCAAATGTATGTCGCACCAGAATTGCAGACTTTCAAACACAACGTGGTCAAAGCCGAAGGGAACCAGATGTTGGTACATCAAATATGCCCAATGATAGTGGTATGCTAAAAGAAATATTATCAACCCTAAGGAACATGCAGGTGGGAAGTTCTAAAAATAATGGATCCCCACAAAATGTTAATCTCTTACATGGTGAAACAAAGCCAATAAATGAGGAACCCGAAGAAAAGCAATTAAATGTTAAGAAGGAAAAACCTTCGATTGTCTCTTGGGAACCTTTTAAACTAAGTCCCAAACTACTCCCAATGGTAATTCTAGTACTAGCGCTAGCAGTACCGCTGCAGGCCATTGAAAGACTATCAATTCCACAGTACCCAATGATATGTCAAACTGAAAAACAGTCTACTTTATGGTCTCTTCCTGACATGACAGACTGTCCAATACCCTCTCCAAATATTTCTCATGTACCAATTTCACAAACTAGAAATGTCTATATGCTAAATGACCTTGAGTACACAACCCAAGGATGGGCTTGTAGAAAAATAAGAAAAACTCTTAAAAAATTTACAACACTTTCTAATGTACCAATCAATGAACCTGTAGGCTCTGAAATTCTCCCAGTAGATGAACAAGAATGTAAGAGAATGATTAAGAATAAAGAATGTAGTTTAGGTAAATTAACGGAAGAAAATGATCTTTGGACCACTTCAAATAAAATAGACTCAAGTCCGAAAATGTGGTTTATAGGATCGTTTTGGTGGACCGAGGTCCAATCCGAAAATTGCTTATTATTTAGTGTAAAAATTAATTCCCACTGGGGTGAAGAAGGTATAGGAACCTCATTTGGGGAAAGTAATAACTGCTCCTATTCGAAGGGTCTTTGTGTATTAAGTGACAATACTGTACTAAAATGGGAACCCACAAAGGATAGAATGTGTCGATATATCAAGATTGGGACTTGGGAAGGAAAATTTTTAGATAACACCTGGTTGTCGGATGACGCACAATTAGCACTTCATTTCGCTAAACCAACTCCAAAATTTTGGGATTGCAGTAACATTCTAGAAATTTCCGAACAAGGACTAGCTACAGTCACTAGGCGTCGCTCTAAAAGAAGCCATAGTAACCAAAAACTTAGCTTGGTAACATCACCTGAAATGGCAGCGAAATTAACTTACCTAGACAAAGAAATGGCTGACACTCTAACATTTACTTTCACGCATTCGCTTAAAACCTTTTGCCAAAATCTGGATCTAGTTAAGAAATGGGCACTTGCCGCATATCTGTCTAACCCAACGGGCCTGGCTAGAATGATATTTGAAAATGACTATGTTACCGCCAAAAGAGAAGGGTCATCACTACTACGCGTATGGCCATGCATACCAATTAAAAATGATGAATACTCATTCAAAGCTACTAACCTTAGCGAATGTTTCGACTTAATCCCAATCCAGTTCAAAGCAGAAAACCGGGAACACTTAGCATTTCTTAACCCGCTAACCATGACAATTGAACCCACAGCTCGAAAAGCACCTTGTTCAACATATGGGAAAATAATCGTAGAAATAAATCATGAGGTACTAGAAGTAAACCAGACCTCAGGGGAATTTAGAAAAATTCAACCCCGTCCAATCAATTTAAGGGAACTCAAATCCTACAGCATACCTGAAATAAAATCACACTCATTCCATCAATTAATGCTAGTAAATCTCACGGATCTCAAAACGCATACATTCATGAGTAACCTAGTCCGTGCAAGCGAAATCTCATATCGCATCGAACAAAAAGACATGCATATAGTAAAAACGCTCTCCGATCAATGGAAAGAGGCAGGAAATAGTCTCGTTACTGAAATTATTGGGGACTATACATGGATTTGGAAGGTCATAATATCAATTTTAATAGCCATATTAACTCTAGATTTAGTGATAAGATGGGGAATTAAAGCAGCAGAAAATTATTTAGGACAAGGACAGTTAGGAAATATGCTATTTGGTCAAAGTCGAAATATAATCAACAGAGCTAGACAGATAAGCATTAACAGAAACACAGAAGAGATTCCAATGGTAAAAGTTAACAAAAATCCTGAGTTTAAAAGAGACAAAACTCCAAGTGTAAGGTCACAAAAACGGAAAATGTCTTGGATCCCAAAGGTTTCTAAATTTCCTCAATCAATAGAAACTGAAGGTCACACAGTAAATGCCATGAGAGTAAATAAAATGTGTGGTGAAAAGTTGTCAATAGACATGGATGCCACGGCATCACAAAATTTTTCTATAAATACCCTACAGTCATGTCCCACAATTACTGGGGTGTTTATAAACAATAAAGCAGTAAAGTGCTTAATTGATACAGGTGCGAGCATATCGATTGCTCCCATCTCACTCGCAAGAACTTTAGGACTAAACCTAACACCAGCTACAATTAGTATAACTTCTGCCTCTGGGCATGAAATTAATGTACTAGCTCAAGCTGAAGTATTATTAGAAATGGCGGGAACTAAATTACCTGTAACTATAAGAGTGGTTGAAGACAATCAAATTACAGGAAATAGAACATACCAATTAATTATAGGATGTGACATTCTAAAAAGACTTCCGCCAATAACATTCGATTTTAATAAAGGAAAAATTAATTTTGAAAATAAATTTAATTATTCAGATAAAAATAAGTCAAAGTCAAAAAACATGCGTGTAGCAGCTATTGAAGCTAAAACAATTTTACCAGGAAAACACGGACTTGTTTCAGTGAAAATTAAAACTAATGGTGGAGAAAAGTTGGCACTTGTACACTCACTGGACCAAAGGCTTGAGAAGGACCATCTTGCACTCATTGAGGCAGTGGTCACACCAAATGCAAAAGAAAACAAAATTCTGATTGCCAACCCAACAACTGAACCAAAGCACATATGTAAAGGAATGCACATTGCTCTGGCTGATGAGGTTTGGTCAATTTATGAACAGCCATGGTTAACACAGGTAGAAAACATTAATGTCAATGAATATGTAAACACTGTAGAAGCAAATCCGACATTCAAGGTAGACTTTTCTAAAAGCTCAGTACAGGGAGAAGATAGACAAAAATTAGAAAAATTGTGTGAAGAATTTTTTGATGTATTTAGTAAAACACAATATGATCTAGGGTCATGTATAGCAGGTGAATATGACATTATTACCACAACTGAAGAACCTATAACATCTAGGCCACATAGAGTTCCATTTAAATACCGAGAAGAACTTCAGAAACACATTGAAGCACTTTTAAAATCTGGAGTAATGGTTAAATCAGACACTCCATGGGTATCGAACATAGTTCTAGTACAAAAGAAAGACGGAGGTTTAAGACCCTGCATTGATTTTAGGAAGCTTAACGAAGTAACAGTCCCAGACCAGTTTCCTCTTCCGCGATTAGAATCAATAATGGAAAGGATAGGAAACTGCAACTATTATTCCTCACTAGATTTGTCAAGCGGTTACCTACAGATTAGATTAACAGAAAGAGCTTCTAGAAAATGTGGAGTAATAATGGAAGATGAGATATACCAAATGACACACATGCCTTTTGGACTAAGGAACGCAACAAGCGCATTTGCGAGAGTAATGGCGCATGTAATAAGCGGATTAGATGAGTGTGTTCTAGCATATGTAGATGATTTCCTAGTCTTTACAAAATCTCCAGACTTTGATAAACATTTAAATGCATTAAGGCAGGTCTTTACCAGATTAAGAAAGTATTTTCTAAAAATAAGTCCCAAGAAATGCATATTTGCCTCAAGGGAAATGAATTTCTTAGGATACACAATAAATGCCAAAGGGTACACTCCCAGTATCGCTAAAGTTGAAACAATAAATAATTTACCTGCACCCACCACTGTCAAAGAAGAAAGGCAAGCTATAGGCATGGCATCATTTTTCAGAAAGCATATTCAAAACTTTTCGCTAATAGTTGAACCTCTCACAAAGCTTACTAGGAAGGAAATCGAATTCCATTGGGGTGACGAACAACAGCAAGCATTTGATAAAATCAAGAAAATTTTAACTAGTCAACCAGTTCTTGTATTTCCGGATTACGAAAAACCTTTCCACATATTCACCGATGCGTCCCTTACTGGACAGGGAGGCGCTCTAATGCAAAAAGATATTGAAAATAATACATATAAAGCAATCGCGTACTGTAGCAGGACTCTAACAATTTCAGAACGCAAATGGGCACCCGTCCAAATCGAACTGGGCGCCATAATATTTTCTTTAAGACAATTCAGACCTTTTATTTATATGGCTGAAATAGAACTGCACACAGATCATAAACCTCTTGCGTACCTACTAAAGAAAGCAGATGCAAGTCCAAATTTAGCACGCTGGCTTATAGAATTGCAAAATTACAATATCAAAATTGTACACATAGCTGGTAAAGAAAATCTACTCGCTGATGCACTCTCACGATTGCAAAATCAACCAGAAGAAGAGCAAACTGAATTAGAAGACATTGCAGAATTCCCAGTTTGTTTCACGCTCCCTATAAAAGATGGGCTTATTAATGAACATTACGCTTCAGTGTTAACACTTAGGAAAGAAAATGAAAATTATGCTATAGACATTAAGCAAGAACAAGAAAATGACATGGAAGCTGCAGACTATATTAAATTTATAAAAACCGGGGAACTCCCAGAAGACATATCACCCAATGATCAGGAGAAATTCGTATTAAATGCTGAAAACCTGAGAATTATAGGGGATATACTATGTCACAAACCTCCGAATTTAAAACCAAGAATATTCGTACCATCGTCACTCAGGGCTCTTATTTTTGACTCATTTCACTCCTCACAACTAGGGGGTGGACATATGAACTTGAAAAAGACCCTCAAGAAGTGTAGAAAATATTATTGGCCAAGAATGCACGCTGATATTTTAACTTGGACACGAAATTGCATAACTTGTCAACTTAGACACTCACCCAATCCACCATACAGGGCAGAAATGCAAATGGTACCAGTAAACACACTATTTGCTAAAGTAGGGTTAGATCTTGCAGGACCATTCCCATTAACGCAAAATGGCAATAAGCATGTAATGAATATAATTTGCTGGTTCACTAAATACGTTATTTCAGTACCGGTACCAGACACTAAAGCAATGACTCTAGCAAGAGCATTTCTCAATAATTGTTATTTAAAATATGGTGGCTGCGTAGAACTAGTAACTGACAATGCCACAGCTTTCACAAGCGAATTCTTTAAGGACTTCTGCTCAATGTTATACATTAATAAAAGCTATGCCACACCACACTGGTCTCAAGGAAACTCAGTGACTGAAAGATCCTTTAGAACATTCCATAATATTCTCTCCAAGTACATAAGTAAGGATCAACCAGATTTTGACGAATTTTTAGACTGCGCATGCTTCTGTTATAACACTTCGATACACACGTCGACAGGTGAAACGCCATTCTTTCTCATGTTTGGTCGTGATCCTATCTTTTGCGTAGACCAAATACTAGACCCGTCAGTGTACAGTCCTGTTGCGTTTACAGACATTTCCGAATTTAAGCAAAGACTAATCACTTCACTTAGATGCGCCTGGGAGGCTGCAGATGAAGCAAATAAGCAAGCACAGTTAAGAGCAAAGACTCAATATGACAAATTAGTAAGAAATCCCACAGTCACAGTAGGAGATAGAGTATTACTCAGAAACTATGCAGGGAAAATAGGAACTTCTAAGAAATTTCATATGCCTTGGAAAGGTGTATTTAGAGTAGTAAAAATTGAAGGAGTACATGTCACAATAGTAAGTTGTAACTCACCTCAGGGTACACCCAGAAAAGTGCATATAAATCAACTAAAGAAGTGTTTTGAAGCACTAACACCCGCTTGTACAGTACCTGAATTATCGAGTGATGAAGAAAAAGCTCTGGCAAGAGCTGAAGAAAACGAAGGTATTGAAAATGAAAATATTTCCCAAGAAATCGAAACTCCCGATATACAGGAAAATCAAAACTCAAACACTGAATTAGTAGAAAAGAACACTCGAACGAAATATAATTTACGAGAAAATCCAAGAAAGAAAAAGTTTTCCTTTTAAAATTGATAGGGGTCATACATTCAAATCTCTCACTCTATTCATCTAATTTCACTTAATCAATCTCTTAACCTTCATTTTTCTACCAAAATCATTTAAAACTATTTCAATTAATCAATTTTCCTTATTCGCGCATTTTATCTCACATTTAATTTCTTTTTTTACATAACCGCGTGTTTAACTCACATTTAAATTTTTTTCCTCTCCCAATTTAAAATTTTTTTTTTAAATCAAAATTTTTAATTTTTAGTTATAAATGGACAATCAAAATGTTAGAAAACGTGGCCGCGGTCATTTCTATTTCAAGACTGAGAAAAATGAAACAACAACAACAAATAAAGCTGGTCTTTTGACCATGGAATCCACGGATTCAAAAAGCTTTACTAAAACGGCTGGTCTTTTGACCATGGAATCCACGGATTCAAAAACAAATAAAACTGCTGGTCTTCTGACCATGGAACCCACGGGTTCACAAAAACCAAAATCAACCACACATACAAGTGTGGAAGAAAAAAAAGCCTTCCAAAAGATCATGGAAGAAGCGGAAAAAGAAGAAAGACAAGAAATTTCTGAAAGTATGGAAAAGCTTATTCTTGAAGAAGATATGGAAATAAATGAAGAAATAGAAGAACAAATTGAAGAAGAGGATTTATTTGGTCGTCCAGGGACGGACGATTCGATGGTTGGAGGTGATATTCCCATAGATTTAAAGCGGATAAAAGGTAAAATTTGTAAAAACATTCTCATTTATTTTTAGTTTGTTCCGTACTACTGACCGGGGCATATAAAAATTACCTTAAATAATTCAAAGCGGTTACGGTCTTGAAAGTGTAACTGATCAAATGGAAAACTGCGAAAGAGTATCAGTCACAATCTTGGAACGATGCTATGACTATTCTTCATATGAGAAACACGGCGAAAGAGTAATCGCAGCTGTTCCCGCATCAAAGTGTACAGGATTGACAAAGCTTGGAATAAATCTTCCGGTGAATGACGTTCCACTCATACTTCTTAATATAAGAGGAACAATAGAGCAGGACAGCTCCTCCTACTCGTTATCCTCACCTGAACAGACAGAAGCAGCGATTATAATTGCAAAAGCGCTGGAACACCGAGATCCTCAAGGTGTTGCCATTATTTGTCTCTACACGTACCAATGCGAAAAGATAAGAGAAAGGCTCCAACAAGAAAATCTACAAGTATCTGTGAACTCTGTAGATGCGTTTCAAAGCCGCGAGCACCGTTTAATCATTCTTGTAACAACGAGCATTAAAACGCCTGGCTCAGCAGCTCGCTCAGATGCCTCTGACTTTTTGAAAGACAGCAGACGTGCCACAGTTGCATTGTCCAGGGCACAAAGTGGATTAATCATTATTGCCGATTTTGAAGCTATACGAGAAGGCGAAACATGGAGGAGATTCATCACTGCGGCAAAACGACACACTCCCTTTGTTGACGAACGCTATTTAGAAGTAATGGAAAATGATGAACCAACACGCGACTCGAATGGAGTACTCAATGATTTAAAAGGAAGGTCAATTGAAGTTAAAGTAGAAGAAGTTAAACTAATACGTGGTGGTGAACTAAGAACAGGAAGAGGAAAAATGATTTGCAACAGATGTGGAAATCCCGGACACTTGGCAAGAGACTGTAGAAGAAGATGAGAGAAGAAGAAGATAGAAGTGGAGGCACAAACTTGGGGCACATGGTAAAACTGTAAATTGTGGTGGGTTAAAAATAAAATGAAAAATAAAATTGAAAATTTGGGAAATTAGGAAAAGACCAGGGGACGGTCTTCCCCGGGGTTGGAGGTGTAAGGCGTACTTTGATCCGGATGGGCAAGGATGGAGAAAAGGAACTTTAGTTCCTCTGGGAAAGGATTGAATAAGGGGAGGAGATTGACAGATAAGGCCTTAGGATAAAACTAAGTGGAAAATAGGAGAAAAGGGTTCAGTCGACTGTTCACCAGTCAGTTGGAAAGTAATTAATGAAAGAGTGAATAACCGGCCGAAGAAGCTGAGAGCTTATTCATTAATCCTGCAGAAGAAGCCTAAGAGCTTATACGAGCGCATATTATACCCGGGCAAGTCGGTCTCGTAACCGACCAGCAGCACCGGCGCACAGAAAGGCCTACCCTCCGCTCCGCAATATACTCATCGGCATCGCCTCTCGGGACCCTTAACATCGCACGCAACCCGCCCAACATCCCAATACCATCCTGGCCCAGCACAAGCTTTACTGGTAGCACCGTCCCACCTCCCCCCGCCACTGGCCATGGCGGTGGGGAGGGGATCCAGGTGAGGTGCGGAATGGAGGAAGAAAAGCTGCCATTGTGGCATGAGGCCCACGGGCCTACAAAAAAATAATAAATGTATATAAAAATATATACACAAAAAAAATTAATTACTTCAACAACAAAAATTCAAAAAAAAATTTTTTTTTTACTTCATTCTTTTAATTTCAACAACAACAAAAATTCTTCAAAATTCTTTTTTTTTTTTTTAAAAAAAATTTTTTTCTTTTATTAAAAAGTCAACAATGGAAAAATTTCCTTTTATTATTATACTAATTCTTCTACAATCAAAAAAAAAGAAATACTTTTCTTCAACAATTTTTTCAATAATCGGAAAAACAATTTTTTTTTCTTCCTCTTCAAAATTTCTTTAAAATTTTTTTTCACTTTCTTTAAAAACACTTTCAACAAAAAAAAATATATATTTTTTTTATATTCTTTTCCAATCTTTAAAGTATCAATTAGTCAGAAGACATTACCCTAGACACAAAAAAAAACCAAAGAAAAATGAGTTTTAGCTGAGTCATTGTCCATTCCAATAAAAAGATTTAAAAAAAAAGGTTGCGAACAACAATTTTTTTTACACATAAAAGTGGGGAAAAGAGTAACGACTGAAAATTAAAAAAAATAAATAAATAAAATCCTTTTTGTCTGTGTCATAAGATAGAAAGGAACGACTTTTATTCTTTTCCTTTTTTTTCAAATAAAACATTTTTTTATTTATTCCGTCTGTCTTCCAAAATACTTTCCACAAAATATATATATAGTTTTACACAAATATTTTTAAATATACATATAAATTAAAGTTGCAAATACCGGTTTTATTTAGGGAGAATTTTTTTTTAAATAAAATCGCTTATTTTCAATGTTGTTTTCGGGCTTCAAAATTTTCTAAGAACGGTTAATTTTCAAAAAATTTTTTTCAAAAACGCCAGCTCTAATAAAAACGTATAGGATATAATATATAAACATTACAATATATATATTTTATTATTTTCTACAATATACTAAAATCATTGCTCAAAAAAGTTTTTATCAAACCATATTTCAAATGTTATAATCCTTTTTAAACAAACATAATATAATTTTTCGCTCACAAAATATTCGATTTTTATATATCTGTTAATTTTATTATTTAAATCAACGACTACTTTAACACTTATATTAAATATTCTAGTAAATACAAAATAGAAAAAAGAAACCCTACCTTTCTTATCACCATTTTGCGCCGCAGGCGAAAATTTTAAATTATCAATAAACGTGGGGGAATTTTTTAGCAGTTGGCTTCAGTTTTGGCTTTAAAATTACAAAATCAGAGGTCTCACAAAATTCAAAAAAAATCACGAAACACCAAAAATAATACGAAACATAAGAAACAAATAATCGAAACGTTTCGTGTATGTATGGTTGGTACCTCTGTAATGACTCAGTCAAAATCCAAATTTTTTTGGGGGTTTAAAAAATACGAATCTGGCATTTTCGTACTTCAGGCGCATTCAACTAAAAAAAAACGCCAGAACGCATTGCAAAAGAAAACAAAACGCTAAAAACTAAAGAAACGCAAAACTGTTCAGACTTAACAAAAATAATTCAAAAAGCAACGCGCATCTTTTCTATCAATTATTTAAAACTGCTTTTATCTATATTTAAATAAGGGTAATAAATTTGCTTATATATGGCTTTCTACTGCCCAATAAACGATTTTTTTTTACATTAAATTTTCTTTTACTCAATGATTGTGTTAAAATCTATTGCCCTACAACAATTTTTTTTTTAAATTTTATTTGTTGGAGTTTTCAACTATTGCCTTAAAATCCATTGCCCTATGCAAAAAAAAAAAAAATTTTTTTTTTTGTTTATTCGTGTTATTTTTCCCCTAAATGATTCACTGTCCAACAATTTTGATTTTTTTTTATTATTTTCGTAACTCTCGACAAAATTTTCGCGCTCATTACAGAATTCCTCTTTTACAATATTTCCTAAATCTTCTTTAAAGAATTTTGAATGTATGAACCAAAAGTTTTTTTTTACATCCAATCCAAAAGGGGTCAAAGGTTCAAAAAAAAAAGTTAAAGCAAAGAGCAGGGGAAAGGGAAAAGAGCGGAAGTAAAGATAAACAATCACATTTTTTAAAAAAAAAAAGTGAAAAGTTTGTTGGGAAAAGAACAGTGTAAAGTAAAAGGAAATTAATGGGAAAAAGGATAAGCATTTAAACATTTATCTAAACATTGTGTTTGAGAAAAATTCAGTGTAAAGTAAAAATAAATTAATGGAAAAATGTTTAAAGGAAAGGATAAGCATCTAAACATTTATGTAAACATCCGAAAGGGATGATTAAGCATTCACAGTTATTTAAACATTTAAATGAAGAAGCATTTCAACATTTGCTTAACATTCATGTAAACTGTAAGCAGGAGTCATTCTAATATTTAGAGATTCACTTTTAGTTCTCTTTAACTTATAGCAAGGCTAACACTTAAGAATTTTTCTTTTAATTTTTTTTTTATTTAAATTAAAGTATCAATTACAGATAAAATTTAAAAGCTATCAGAAAGCAACAAAAGCAACGATTAATTGGTCTTCATGGTTGGTCCTGAAGACTCAAGCAACAAGGGCATTACGCCCGCGGGTACCAAGGTACCACAAAATTCCTCGTCTTCTTCCAGTTTGGAGGAAACGCCAATCAATGTAGTTGACAAGAAACTACTAATAGGTAAATCCAACACAGCTCAGCTGAAGATACAGGACATTGAACAGGTATTTGGTGAAACAATACGTTTAGAGGAGGGTGTAAACCGCTCTATTCGACTCATGAGTCGCAAGGTAAACCAAAATTCAACAGGGTTAACCAAATTAGCCGAGGAGGTTAATCAAGGGTTTTCCACTTTGGGCGACAAAATAAATAGCTGTGAGCAAAACATTACTGAATTATCTAAAAGAAAGGCTAGGTCTGCCTCTCCAAATAAAATAAGGGTAGGACAACAAACATTAATGCCTCTTATTATTCCAGAACTAAACATTTCGAATCTTAGTGAAAATAATGACAATAACTGGGCTGATGAATCACAGGTGGATGGACAAGTCAGACACCTACCCATGACAAATGATGAAGGCTTTCACACTCTGAACATGCTTCATCACGAAGGTATCCCAGCGCTTGAGGTATATTCTGATGACAATATTATATCATTTGATAAATGGGGAAAGAAATTTTTAGAGAGAATTAAGGTCTTTGGGGTAAAACTTTCAGAAGAAGAAAAACTTGCTCGGTTGTCTTTATTTTTGGAAGACACACCCAAAAGAATCTTTGAAGAGATGTCTCCAACTCAAAAACTAACGTGTGAAATGGCACTTCAAAGCATAAGAAAGGAGTTGGACTCTCCTCAACGACGTGCTCTCTCAAGGCAGGCGCTTTTAATGTGCCGCCAACATGAAGGTGAGTCAGTCAAAGATTTCCTATCACG